TTTCCTCATTTTCCCGTCCTCTCCTACTTCCCGTCCTCTTCTCCTTCCCGTCATCTCCTCCCTCCCGTCCTCTTCTCCTTCCCGTCATCTCCTCCCTCCCGTCCTTTCCTCCCTCCCGTCCTCCGTCCTCTGAGGACGACTCACCCAGGAGGTCGGAGGTGTTCAAGTGGAGGTGCGGGGTTCAACTGCGGCTTTCCTGCATGTGACGCCCGTCTCCACAAAGCCAGGACCACAACGCACAAAAGCTGCGCCTTCCTGCACTCGAGGGGGGGGGGGGGATAATAATATTTTACATGACTAACCGTGTTTTAGTTTTATTTAGTAGATTATGCACATAACTACTAACAGTGGTTTATTTTAGTAAGTACATGATATTCACGACTAACTTTGGCTAGGTTTTAAGAAGTAAATGAGCACAACTAACTTTGGTTTTGTTTTAGTAAGTAAATATACATGATGACTAGCTTTGGTTTAGTTTAAGTAAGTAAATATACATGACTAACTTAGGTTTGGCCTTTGTAAGTCAGTAAGTATACATGACTCACTTTCTATGACTAACTTTAGTTTTAATAAGTAAATATGACTAAATTTGGCTTATTTTTAATAAACAACTATACATGACTGACAGTGGTTTAGTTTTAGTTTGTAAATGATATACATAACTAACTGTGATTAAGTTTTAGTAAGTGAATAACTTTGGTTTACTTTTAGTTGGAATTATAGACCTACATCACTAACTTTGGATAGTTTTATTAAGTCAATATACACGACTAACTTTGGTTTGGTTTTAGTAAGTAAATATACATGACTAACTTTAGTAGTTTAGTTTTAATTAGTAAATTATATACACGACCAACTGTGGTTAAGTTTTAGTAAGTACATATACTAAGTTGAGACATCAACAAGGTCAGTTTTCTATCTGCCCATCTTTGCCAGTCTGTCTGTCGCATCTCTCTCTCTCTCTCTCTCTCTCTCTCTCTATCTCTCTCTCCCACTCTCTCTCCCTCTCCCACTCTCTCTCTCCCTCTCTCTCTATCTATCTTTAAAAAGAAAATTACACTCCCGATTTTTTTTTCTTTTAAAAAAA